CGCCCTGGTCTCGAGCAGACCGGGGAGAGGAAGCAAAGCAGCGGCGGAACGCGGGGCCAGCTGACAGCCCAGAAGCGTCTGGGCTGTCAGCTGGCCGCGCGTTCCGCCGCCGCTTTGCTTCCTCTCCCTGGTCTGCTCGAGACCAGGGAGAGGAAGTGCCCCGTTCGTAACTGCGGATCCGACGTAAGTCGGATCCGCGTAACTCGGGGACTGCCTGTACACAGGTTTTGCTGCTTTCATTAAGAAAAGTCAGCAAGTTCTATTTCTGTGTTCTAAATACAGGCTAAGTGTGGGAGGAGTATTCAAACTGAGTTTCTTGTTACTATGGCACATTAAGATAGTTGGAATAGTGTTCATTTCATTTGAGTGTTTGGTTTAAAACTTTTTATACTGATTACTTTTGGAAATTTTAGAGAGACATTTTAAATGCTTCAAAGAATGTCTGTAAAAATATGTAACTTGCCATCAAGATTTTTTTATTTATATCAATAAAAAAATATTTGTGGCAATTTACACATATAAATTGGACTGAGAACTTTACAGCCTTATAGACATAGACATAGACAGACAGACAGTTTAGTTTCTCTTTGTGAAATTTCTAATGGCAAATACATGCATTTTGTAAACTGGCCAGCAGGGTGGGTGCTTGCACTCTCAATAGCTTCCATACCGAAATTGTAAAGTGTCTCCTCTCTGGAGTTTCAGCAGAAACAAGAAGTCTGGTGGCACCTTAAAGACTAACAGTTTTATTATGGCATACATTTTGAGTTGCAGCCCAGTTCCTCAGATGCAAGAAGTGAAAGGAAAAGAATCAGTAGGGATACAGAGATAGGAGTGCTAATTCAATTAGGGTGGATATGGATAAGAAGGTGAGAATACCTGAAGGGGAAGGTTACTTATTGTAATGAGAGATCCATTCCCAGTCCCTATACATACCCATTCTGGTGGTGGTAAGTTTGCCTAGGAATTGGAGTTCAGTAGTTTTATGTTTGCAGTCTGTTGTTGAAGTTTTCCCCTTCAGATATTTTCACTGCTATCCACATCCACCCTAATTGTAACACTCCCATCTCTGTATCCAGACTACATTCCTTTTTTTTTCCCTTTGTTTCATGTATCTGACTAAACTAGGCCTTGTCTATGCTGCCTTTTGGCGGCAACAACAGTGAGAGCATTTACAATACAATGCAACTTTTGTCAGGGAAAAACACCCAGTTTTGATGATGACAAAGTTCCAGCCCTGGGAGGGACTTTTTTCTATTCCCCTCCCTTTATTGTCGACAGAGCCAATATTGAGTCTGCTGTTTGTGGTGTTAAGAGAACTGGTTTCTGACAGTATTCCACAGTTCCTGCTCTGCTCAGTGTTTTGTTGATCTCTGCTGCCCTGTAGGCATGTTCCCCTCCCCTTTCAAAACACTGGGAAATATCTGACTAAGTGAGCTGCTCCATTTGGGAAGCAAATCACTGGAATGCTCCTATTCTGCCCTATAATAGAAACACAGTGGCATGCAGACTGCTGCGGGGGAGTACTGGAGAGACTGCTATACTGCTTTGATATTCCTTAGCACAGAGAGCTCACAGAGCTGCAAGGGAATCCCAAGAAGTGCAGGGGTCAGCTCTGCCTTCCCACAAAACTGCACTGTGAGATGCTTACCCACATTGCTCTGCTCTTATCTGTCAACATGGTGCTAGCAACGTGGACATGAGATGTCAACAGTGGGAGGCAGAAAAACAAGTTTGACCATTTTTTACTTTTGGCAACTTTTGTATGTCAGCCACACTTTTGTCATCAGACCTTCCCAGAGTAGAGACAGCCTGAGTTGCAAATCATGAAAGCTTATGGTATAATAAGATTGTTAGTCTTTAAGGTGCGCAGACTTCTTGTTGCTGCTGCTACTGAAATAAACTAACATGGCTGCCTGCTTGAAACCTCTGGAGCTCCAGTAATCAAACCAAGAGCAACAGGTTGAAAAAAATCTCCTTAAATGTGTTTGAGTTCTGCTGTTAACTCTCCTGTTTTAATGCTTTTTTTTAAAATCCTAGCAAAATATTATTAAATATCACTTGTACCTCACTTAATTATAGTGTTTCTAAATAGTTTTTTTCAATGTAGATAAAAATAGGGTCCAAAGTGTTAAGTTTAAGGAACTTGTGTATACTGAAAAAATAAGTGTGTACAGTATTATATGTCATACTAGTACTGTGTACAGACAGTCCCCGGGTTACGTACAAGATAGGGACTGTACGTTTGTTCTTAAGTTGAATCTGTATGTAAGTCGGAATTGGCGTCCAGATTCAGCCGCTGCTGAAACT